GCCGCGAAATTGTTACCCTGTCGCTTAGCGGGGAAGGCTAGCTCCAAGTGTGGCATGACCCCTTTGGTCTTGGTTATGCTGTCTACAAAAGTGGTAAACATCTATTTTTCAAGACATTCTCCCCTTCACAACTTACAGTTCTGTTGCATTACCTGATAATCAACTCGCTCTGGATCCTATTTTCTTAAGAAGGGCAATGATGCTGGAAATAATAACAGATCTATTGCAGCTTGCCGCAGCGGTGCCAAATCTGGATAAATTGGATTTAAGTCAAATCTCTGATAAACCCTGCTTCAAAACAAATGCCGTCCTCGCACTACCTTATTTTCGAAAATTAAAAACGCTTATTATTGACGGTTTTGTAGCGCGAGAAACTGCTGGCAAAGGTATGCCAATGAGAGGTTTGCTCCTATGAATTTGATTTTAAAATTTTCAACTGCTAATAGTCAAACGTCAAAGCCCCTTATTCCCGCTCCGGATGTGTTCACTCATTGTGAAAGACGGAGGCATTCGAGAAGCATTCCGAGAGTAAGGTTCATAGCTGATGCAGTTTTGAACAACCCGCTTTTGTCAAGACCATTTTACTATCAAAAAGAAAGGAAGAACTGTGGAGAAAGGGGATTAGTTTGTTTCACTGGTGGAGTCAAATCTTCGATCCACCGCATGGCAATAGTGCTATTTTCCACTACTCCATGGCGGCCAAAGCTAAGCATAACAGCAACGATTTTTTTAACTGCTAAACAGCGCCTTCAAGCTAATAGCTAGGAATGGAGAATGTCCGCTTATTTCAGTCAGTGCTACAGTTTCTTGCTTTTATCAGAAGAGAAAACGCACGTTGCCAAATTCTGATAGCTTCTGGCTGAGGAATGCACGTCTTCACAATTCTGATTTGTGTGCGCTGTACAAGAAATATGCTGTAATATGCTATAATATGTAATATGCTGTCTGCGATGTGATGCACGAAATGCTTTAAGCGACATCCTGTTTCCTTGACAATAGGAACACAAATCTTTCATTGCCGAGGAAAACCGGTTTGAACTGGTTTTTAATAGTTCTTGTCGCTCCTCTGAGAAGAATGCAAAAGGTCAGGATGAATTTAGTGCGACTAGGATGAGTTCAGAATGCAAGTTTCATCACAGAGTTTCTTTAAAAAAATGAAAATTTCTGATAAGAAAAGGCGCAAAATTTAAGGAAGAAAATCAGCTGGACAGATTCAGGCGGCCAAATAAATGGATAGGGGACAACTTCGAAATGAGGCTATGTACACAGATAACAAAGGCAGTGGAAATAGCTGGCGTCCAAATGTTTAACTGCGAAAGAAAGTTACAAAGACTGAAAGGTGCCGATTCTCAGTGAATAAATTAGTTGGAAAAATAAGTGCTGTATCGTTCAAGCGCCAAACTTTGGAGCAAGGCCTTCTGTCATTGTATTTGTCATGCGTGCGGAAATTCTGCCTAGAGTGTTGGCTACATAATGCCCATCGATCTCAGTCCTTGAAGTATTTTAGGATGCTCTCACAGACTGGAAGTACCGCCTCTTCATCATATGCAGCATTTGGAAGCTCTCGAGCTAAATTGTTCCTACGATACTCTCTCCAAGATATTGCATTCACTACGAGAAAGTAATGCTATTTTATATAACTTGAAACGGGTTCATGTGAGTTCCCCCATTATTTTTTTTTTTCGATTTGCGTGTTTTTGAATTGCCCGTTACAAAAGAAAGTTCAGGAAAAAAAATACAACTCGGCATTATTTTCTATCTCCCTAGCTTAGAAAATTCCACTTCTTCGTCGACGAGTTACCTCATTGGAGTCCAGGGTTGATAACGTCTAAACGAGATAGTGATAATCAACACAAGTCAGTGACATCTAGTGATAATCAGTATAAACCAATGACATCTAGTAATAGCAGCACAAACTGTTAACAACTAGAAACGACTAAACCGTTGCTTAACACTTCTGCCGGGAGAACCATTGAGTCAGTACTTCGCTTCAAAAGACGAAATGAATATTAGGACCGCTAGCAGGCTGACTGCGAAGCGAAAACTTGCCAGCTGCGCAGTTACATCAAAACATTATGAAAAGCAATTAATTAAAGTATAACTTCTCATGTAATTAGTTTTTCGACTGAGCGCAATAAAATTGTTTCATTTAACACCACATTCGTTTGGAAGCTTTTCTGCTCTAAAGTTGAATCAGTTTAAATTCAAATGAACTGATACGCTATGGTTTACTGTGAGTTTTACGCATTTTAGAAATTTGTTATGATGAGACCATGCTGAAAAACATATGTGCTCGCCTACACAAATTTTCCAATGTATTTGACGGCTTTGGATCTGCAAATGAACTTCCATTTTGTCACTTCCCTGATCTTTGATCTCCACTGTTAAATCGAGCTACTTTTGAAAGTTAAAGAAGTACAGTTTACTGATTCGAAGTTGAAGAATTAGATCTGTCTCACAGTGCGAAGCAGAATGCTTGATCTTATTAATAAAACAAAACCTTTCGTGTCCTCGTGCGTGATCTTGAGTACAGGCTGAGGTTAACAGTATTGTCGTTGGGACGAGCTGTTCACATATAATGAAATCTTTTGTCGATAAATTGATATGTAGGATTATCCATCGCAAATTGCTACTTTTCAGTATGTTGACATTTGTACTCGTGATTAGTAAAGTGACCCCTACACATCCGCTGGTTCTGGTGCTTTCGTTTTTTTTTTCCATTTGCTTATGCTTTTTACATTATAAGATCTCCTTTCGACCCCAATTACTGACTTGTGATAGAATTCAGGTTGTTACTCTTGAGCAAATCAAGCGCAAAATTTTAAGCTTAGAAACAGCAGATACGTCAAAGCATTACTATTTTGTGGTACTGCTATCCCATAAAAAAATAATCGCACATCTATCAATCGCAACCATTCTCAATAACCAATTGCAGAAGCACATTTCCTTATGTTCCTTTTGAATTCCTTCATCGGCAAAAAGCATAAGTTTGTTTTGGTGGATTTTAGTTTGGCGTGAAGCATTGCTCAGCGATATATCTTGAACTGTTAACATGGTTCTTGTCAGAGCACCGTTCGCTTCGCTCAGTACGCATCAGCAATGCATTGTTTGCCACCACTGTTCAGCTGAGACGATTTTACGAGTAAGCCAACTGGTATCCGACATTTCAATTCTACTTTGGTCCCACCCACACTCTTCGAAATTTCGTCTTCGTCGTATCGCGCTTCAAAATTCCAGCTAGAGTGCTGGAAGTTTCTGAGCATGGTGCGTAGTAGTGTTTGTGGGAATCCTTTTGGTAACTGGTATAAGGGAATGCATAAGAAAATATTTTTAAGTGAATAATCCTTGCCCATATATAATCTATATATGTTTCTAGTAAGCGTGCTTCTTGCGTACGCACACGTGAAAGTTTTGAAGGAAGATGGCCAGGACACCAGGCCGGCCAGGTCATTATGCGCTTTTGCGTACATGCGAGTGCAAAACGCATATTGTGATGATCATTGTTGTGAGTGTGTGTGCATGATCGTGTGTGTGTAAATCTTTTTCAACTCGGCAGCCACGCAAACTCCGGCGCTAAAATTTTGCCAGCGGGTTCCCTGGCCGAATGCCACCCCGAGACCGCGGTGCCGACCGTCACGCGCGGCCGAGTCCCACTCACGACCACGTGAAAGTTTTGGTGGGAAAACCGCAAATTCGAGTAGAAAAGCTAGGAGGCTGAAATTTTCAGGGGGTGTTCACCGTCCACATATAACTCAAAGATTTCAAATTCAGCTCTCGGATGTGCATGCTTTTAACATGCGGTCCCGTGGAAGTTTTTAGCGATAAAATAATAACTCAGGAGCCAAAGAAGCTGGAAAGTTGAAATTTTTAGGAGATGTTCCCAATCCCAGCACCCGCCTGACTTGAAAGTACAATAATTGGCCAACGCACGGGCTGCCCGTGCGAAGATGCGTTTTTTGCATGA